CATGTATTACGCATCTACATAATGTAATCATGCAGTTGTTTTCAAATAAAATACTGTATATTTCTAAACACTTAACATCGTTAACAGACATAATGCAAATCAAATTAACCTTCATTTAACTAAAAAATTATATTATTCCCTCTTTAAGTGTAAAAGCAGACGGTCATGAATCATTTGTGGCGGGGGAAAGCTCATTTGATATGCTTTTAGCATCAGGTTGTGCTCAAGCCTGACTGGTTGGTTGATGCCCCTGGCAAAAAATATGGAGCACAAAGTTTAATCTGAAATAAAATATACAAATCCAACGGAAAACTCAACAGTGGCATTATAGTGGCTTCACAGGTGTTACCAAAACCAACGATGCTGTACACCATCAGTCAAAAGTTTATGATTTTTTTTTTTTTTGTCAATTTTGCTCAAGTCTGAATTTATTTAATCATAAATTCACTAAAAATGGTCAATTATAAACCACAATGTACTGTAAACAACGGTTTCTTACTGAACATAGTTTAAAATGTATTCCTACGACTCAAAACTGAAGTTATATGAGCTTTTAACATGCAGTCTTTAATAGAAAACCTTCAGAATTATTTTTTCTAGATCATAGTTGAAACTAAGCCAAAAAGGAAAATGAATGAATGAGTGTAGAAATTTATAAATAGACAGTCCATTTTGGGGGGGTTTATATATATTTTTAAAGTATATATTTTTTTTAATTATTTCATAATATTACAAAATTATTTATCAAATTAATGCAGCACAGGATTAAAAAAAAAAAAAAGGTTGAGCGGTAGTGTAAATCAGAGTTAAAGCGGTGTGTATTTGGGCACAGGAGAGCTCTGCTGATCTCTATGCCTCGAACCCCTCCTGAAGGCTGAACGGTGGAGCGTTTGGGGGGGTGGGGGTGTTGGGGGGATTCCTCCACCCGTGTCCCATGGGAGAGCTACATCAGTGGCTCTCAGCTTAATGCACTGCTCCATGAATATTTCAGTGCAGTTTAATGTGGCTGCGCTGCTCTCCTGAAGGGCCACCGCTTCAATTTGTGAACACGCGGAGCCGGACGCAGCTCTAAAAGCCGGAGTGATGGAGACCCACAAATACACCACAGGATGGAGGAGGTTGTGCTTGTAGCTGCTGGAGAAATGTTTCTCAATCATCTTTTATCGAATTTGGAAGGTTTAATAAAACTAGATTACATTTTTGTCATTTATTTATTTATTTATAGATTTAATTAATTAGTGATTT